GGCTTCGACTCAGGCTCGCATACGTTTTCGGGAATATTTCTGTCCCAATCGATGTGGACGTCACGATATTGTCTCAACAAACATCAGGACCATAGGACGTCCGTCTGTTATGAAACCTGTATATCCTAGGTACAACAATTCTGAAATGGACTTGGACGGCTCCGGCCGTGCCGATGGCGATTGTCCGTTTCAGAGAATATCCGCTAGCATAATCAAACATACATACATTCGCGATATTGGCAGCCCAATTTATGAAATACGTTTTAAATGTAAAAATGTTGAAATGTCATTGAAATTAACTTGCAAAAAACCAAATACAAATCTATTGATTTACGAACATAAGAAAGAGAGGGGGAATGATGAAAATCGATGGCAGATTGATCCCTACGCTTTAATCGAAATCAGGTTTAAAGTGTCTGTGTCGTTTGAACCGAGCCTGAGTCTGAGGAGCTCGTCTAGCCCGAACTGCCTCGAAGCTTCTCAAATCACTTTCCTTCTTAATTATACTCGGGCGTTCGAATCCGATAAGCTCGTAGACGAGCTCTTAGGATCGTCGAGAGTGATCCTCCCGAAAATTGGGCGTCTCCACTTTCCGCGTGTTCGCATCACCTGGTGCGTTTTAAGCCCCCGCTCATCCCCCTGTGTGCTCGAGCCGAGTTAAAACAATCCCGACGAAACACTTGCAGCGGCAACAACCACGACAACGTCCCGTCCGAGCCCGCCGTGGTTCATGACTTCTCAGCCGAGCGTTTGGAGCACAGCTAAGCCGACTGTCAGGCCTCCCTCGAGGATTACGACGCCCCCGGCTCAGCAGTCGCCGCAACCGCCGACACCGTCCACCTCGGTGCTGCCAATAACTACTATGACAAGGTCAGTATTCGCGTTCGCGTACTACTTATTTTTAATTCAGTTTGTGACGCAGTTAACATTTTTTAATTGCATTTATATAATTATTTTATTTTAAATATAGTATAAAACCAAGTTGTTTAATGTTACTCTTTATCATGTCATTTCTTAATATTATCAATTTTGAGAACCCGACGGTAGTTTGATAAAGATCATAACATTTCTTAAAATGGGTCGTCGAGTGATATAATTCTCGATCACGTAGCTTTGTCACGATCCAAGAGAGACATTCTTTAGGTGTCAACCAAAGAAAACAGAGTTATCGAAACGTTCCATTAGAGAGAGAATTGAATTACGATCCTCTCTGAGCGTAGAAATATTTTCGTTAGGTCGCGGAAGTTCGAACCATTGAAAGTGACAAACCCCTTCCGTTTTGCAGTCCCACGTCGTCGAGGTCGCCGGTCAATATGGAGGATCTCGAGGTGGACCAAGACTTAACACTTCCACAGAACGTTCCGTCTGGGAACAGGCCGCCAGTGCCTCCGGTCGTTCCTGAGACCACTCAGCCCACAACCACGTCAACATTCGCTCCTTGGAGGACGAGTCGAAGGACTACCGGTAAGCCCTCGAGTGTTTCAACGGTTTTCTTAAACGTCACGAAAACCGTTGATGGCGTTTTGATAAAGAGAGTTATACAATACAGTATGGATACAACGTTTATTTTATCATCGATGTAACGCAGCTGTGGTACATCGGTTTGGGAAGGAAACTAAGTGTCTATCGATTCGATTATCGCGTGCTTGAAAAGGAAATAGTGAGAATGACGATGAATTCTTAATTTGTAGAATTATTAATCGTACATTAGGGGAGTTCATTATAATATGCATTAGGTTCAATTACAGGAATGTTAGCTTCGGGGGGATGTCGGATGTCAATTACTGAGCAAACCCTAAAGCATAAAAAGCAGTTGTCGGAGCTTGGTACCGCATAGGAATAATTATAGTCGAATGAGATTTGAGAAGATATCCGAAATTAAACCTGTATAGTTCCGATCATTATGAACTCCCTACAGTCTCTCGCATGAATATAACGACGCGTTAAAATACTGAACGAGCGGAACATAAATTGTATCGATTAATGAGCACGCTTTGACTTCGGTTATAACTCGCGAACTCGGAACAATCGTCGCGAAAGATTAAGGCACCCCTGGGTATCCAAAATTCCATTTTGGTCAGCCCCGATAGGATAGGACGCTGCGTTCGCGCTAAGCTAAGCCCACGGTCCGCCCGGGGACCGGACACTAAAATCACATTAAAGCCCGCGCCATTAACTAAAGCCGGGAAACAGGCCAACCAACGCTCGTAACTAACTCAAATATTCCACAGTGCCGAGTACGCTGTTCTCGGAGTCAAGCTCGAACGGGCAATGGTACGACTACGGCAGACAAGTGTGTCCCCCGGTGATAGCCAGGAACCTGTCGTGGAACACGACCAGGGCCGGGGACGTGGCCGTGCAGAGCTGTCCGGGCGGTGCGAACGGCTTGGCGCGGTGGCGATGCCTGGCGAAGGGCGACACGGCCTACTGGCACCGAGACAGTCCGGATCTGAGCGAGTGCCGTTCCGTTTGGCTCACCACGCTGGAGAACAGGGTGACCGAGGGCGACGTGATCCTCGGCATCAGCAGGGAGTTGTCGCAAGTGACCGATAACAGCAGAGGACTCTACGGTGGAGATATGATGATTACGACGAAGATCATCAAGAACATGGCGGAGAAGATGGCGCAGGATATAAGGACGTATCAGGACGCGAATCAGAGGGAGGTGAGCGTGACTGAGCTGTTGCAAGGTGTCGTGAGGACAGGGAGCAACCTGCTGGACAAGGCGCAAATGGCGTCTTGGAAGGACCTCAGCCATCAGGAGCAGATGAGAGTCGCGACCTCCTTATTGATCGGACTCGAAGAGAACGCGTTTTTGCTCGCCGACACGCTGATGCACGAGAAAACGATCACTCACGAGGGCAGGAATATATGTGAGTACCTATACGTATCGTTAATCGTCGTTTCGTTAGGCAACGCGTGACGTACTGTGAGAAGTAACAGCTTTCTGCATCTTCTGTCATTGTCTAAGAGCAACGTAGCTGTGTAGAATTTTTTTCAACACGGAACTCGTACGGCATTCTGAAATTGGTTGAAATTACACGATGGAACGTGACTTAATGATAAAAATTACCGACGGACTAATTTAGATTGTCTGATAATGGGGCGAGAGAAAGGGTCGGTGAACCGTAATGAATAAAAAGGAGTGGCGAACCCGGGATAACGAATTAACGTTGAGCTGTCTAGCACAATGGACATGAGAGTATCGTAGGTCCAACTTTAGCATCGGGTCGCATAAATCTAGATCCCTTATCTGGGGAATGCGACTCTGGTAATATCCGGCGTAGATAAAACAAAGATCCAAACCCATCGTAATTCTCTGGTACCTCGGTGGATAATGTTGTAACCCGAGCTTTAGCCTCTCTCTCGCCCGCGTTGCCGAGCATTATCACAACAAAACCCAGGGAAAATTACGAGCAATTTGATTTACTTCCTGGAAGTAACATACTATACTAACGTACACAGCGCGCGCTCTCCGTGATTGAAGCTGGAAGGGAGTTTCTGCGGCGCGTCCGAACGCGAGGTAGCCAGCAACGGCCGCGGCAACATTAGATCCGCACGTGATAAATAGCATAACAGTAAAGAGCAAAAAGAGGATGAATTTGATGAGCGACAGCCGGCCGGATGCCATGTAACATAATATTCTTCAGTCTCTATCTCTGGCCGAGCTCTCTCTCGTTTCTTCCGCGCTAACAGAAAACTAGCTACGACTACTATCATCCGTGCCTAGAATTTTTCTTGCTGGCTACCGCTGTCATACATTTATATTCGGATGGAATATAGGCACGATGAAAGCAACGGAGATAACTCGAGGAGAATAGAAAAATGGCAGACGGGTAGATATATTTAGTTTTATTGTTACCTCGGGAAGATGAATCGAATAGCGGAACTTTATGATCGCACGATTGACGTATCTCGCGGACTTCAGTTATCGTCGTGTCGTTCACAAGGCAATACATACGTACAACTTTTCGAGGATACGAATTTTATTTCGACGCGACGAATGAAATATTAAGTAGAAGATACTGATCCACACTTTCGACTATAGAAATATAAAAATTGTAATATGTAATTATAAGACAACGAACTATTTCTAAAACTTCGATGTAGGATCTTCTAATCACTCCATCGCGAATACGTATAAATATTAGAATATGTTAATAATTTATTTCTTATCATAATCCAAAATACGATATTATAATTTTACTTTTTACGAAATACCAGTGATGGAGGTGCGCGTATTGGACGCACGGAACATCGGCGACGATCTGGAGGTGTTTCCAACGGAGGCCGCCCAACAGAAGTGGACAGCATCGAACGATCGCATAGAGCTAACCAAAGGCGCTTTGTTAGAAAATAGCGAGGGTGGCATTGTCCGTCTGGTCTTCATGGCGTTTGATAGGCTCGAGGAGATCTTACAGCCGCAAGCCGAGGTATCGTCGTTAGTTATGAGCGACGAACCACAACCGCTGCCGAAAAGGAACACGACCAGGCTTCTAAACAGCAAAGTAATTTCTGCATCTTTGGGCAAAGGAAGGCACATACAACTGAACGAGCCCGTCAGGGTCTACTTCAAACATCTGTCTATTGAGAACGTCACCAATCCAACTTGCGTGTTTTGGGATTACATCTTGAGGTAAGGTTTCCAATCTAATTACTTACGTATCTTCTACTGATTGATCATCCAATGAACCCTAGTCTCTTAACACCAAAGACTGAAGAACATTAATTGATTAAATTGAACGATCTCTCGATATTTATCATCAAGTATGTCATATTTAATTTTACCTTTTCAGCGCTTGGTCTGAGGAGGGTTGTCAAATACGGAAAACTAACGAGACGCACACAATATGCGAGTGCAATCATCTCACGAATTTTGCCGTTCTAATGGATATACACGCTGTCAGATTAGACATCGCCCATCAAGTCGCGTTGCAGATCATAACATACATTGGTTGCATAATATCTGTCGTTTGCCTAGTTCTAGCTATTCTGACATTCCAATTGTTTCGCGGGCTCAAGGTACGTGTTGCACATTAAACATTCATTTTACATAATATCTACCTACTATTGAATGATCCACTTTATTTTTCTCTTACAGTCGGACAGAACGACCATCCACAAGAATCTTTGCGTGTGTCTATTGATCGCGGAAATTTTATTCGTTTGCGGAATCGGACAAACGAACCAGAGAATTGTCTGCGGTATCGTCGCCGGGCTGCTCCACTTCTTTTTCCTCTGCGCGTTCGCCTGGATGTTCCTCGAAGGTATCACGTCGACGCAATATCCGCCGGTTATAGCAATTCGACGAACCGTGGAATAGTGAACCAACAAACTTCCGCGGATGAACGGTGAAATGCGGATTTTGATTTTTCTTTCTATTCTCATCCCGCAGGTTTCCAATTATACGTAATGCTGATCGAAGTGTTCGAAGCGGAGAAATCGAGGCTACGGTGGTACTATCTGGTCGCGTACGGGGCCCCGTTACTGGTCGTCGCCATTTCTTGTATAATCGATCCTCTAAGTTACGGCACCGACCGATATTGCTGGTTACGAGCAGACAACTACTTCATCTTCAGTTTCGTTGGACCTGTGATACTCGTTATACTGGTAAAAGGACTTCTAATACTAAAGAAAATATAAGCCGCCTTTCATTAGACTTGTATGATGATGTTTTATTGGGATTCACACGATAATGTTTGTGGAACCAATGAAACGTCGAATCTTGAGGTATTATTCCAGTACACTGTTCTTTCGATATGTCATTATATATATATATATTAACCAACAATATCCTTCTAAAGTTTTAAGTAACGTTGGTTTGATCACGTAACTATTCTGTTCTTCAACTTTTATTGATTCTACATAGAATAAAATAATTACAAGGATCGTTGGTTTATCTTCTTATCAGGCGAATCTGGTATTCCTGTCGATGGCAATTTACATGATGTGCCGACACGCGAACACGACCGTGGCGATGAAGAGTAAGGAGCACTCGCGATTGGCCAGCGCAAGGTAAGCCTGACGGTTCTGTTCGTACCTACATACCTACAGAAAGCGTAAAAATACGAATTTGTATATACCTTATACATTGTATATCTCTATATTGAAGTAATCTCGATCGAGTACGTCTGTAAACACGTATCGAAACACTATGAAATCCTCTCGTCGAGTAGAACGTCGAAGTGTTTGTTTGGTGCTTTCGGTTCACGTTCGCAAGCTTTACTTGCTTAAAAAGAGAGTCTCCCGAAAAGAGAGTCTTTTATTGTCACGCATCTCTTTTGGCGGCCATGCTGAGATATTTATTTTCGTTTACTATACATTTCCGTTTTATTGAGTTTCAATGTGTTTGGAATGACCGCAAGATGATTTCCGTTCGTTCGACACACCACTTGTATTGCTGTAAGTCTTAGGTATTATATGGATATGGATATTATTACTACATATATTTTACATATTTACATTATATATATATTATTATACATGTATACTTTATTACTTGATAAACGCTCGTTGAACGTGCATACGCATAGTATGATTATTACAAACGCTGTTACAAGTCGAGTCATGTTCCGAATAAAAGAAATTTGACGCGCGAACTAGAATCGAGTACGATAGTGACCAGTCTGTGCTCTGTAGTTTTTATGATTCAAACGAAAGTCGAACGAGGAAAAAGAGAGAGACAGTATAATAACGACACGATATTAGCTTGATAAATCTCTACATATATGGAAATCGTTGGTGATGGTAGTTAAACTCTTCTGCAAACTCGACTCGTTTTATTATTGAAGCTGCCTCATCGCAAAGAATCATCTCTGTATTGTTTTTTGTTCATTTTGTATTTGTCCATTTTGTGTGTCGATCTTGCGTTTTTTTCGTACAATTCAAACTGTAATTAAGTGTTTTTGATGGTTGCCTTTTAATACAGCGCAGCGGTGTAACACATAGTAATACGAATCGAGTGTTGCACCAGTGAAACTATAAGTACTTCTTTTTATACATATAATCAATTAATTGAAATGGTGTCGGAACAATCACCTAACTTTGCTGTCTTGTTTCATTTTTGTATTAAATCTTCTACCCACTTCTGTCTACACTGTTCTACATTCTTCTGCATGGCGTGGTTGGTTGGTAGTGGAAAGGAAGAGAATGCTCTTCCCAACAAATTGCAAGCGCACTTGTAAGATATTTACCAATTTTTATTATTACTCACCTCGTTCATCATCACAACATCATTTTCTCTATTAATCGTCTCACGATTTTTCTTCCTTGTTTACTGCGATCATCATACATTCTTTATCTGTCACCTTATACATTACCATTTAGAGCTACCAAATCATTGTTTAAATTTAGTTCTGTTCATTTTCTTGCGAATGTAGAACGTATCAAAATGAAATGTAGCTAATCTGTTCGCGGAAGAGAACGTACCCACACGCTAATTGTTCGTAAATCAAAACAATCATCATCGATCGTGCAACTCACTGGAATCGCAAATTGTCATTGTTATCCTCATTGTTCTATTATTATTATTGTCATTGTTATCGTTATTGTTATTGTTTTGTGCCCGTTTGAAACGAGTCTGAGCAATTCGCAAATTACCAACAGCTTACGTAGCGAGGTGTTTTCGTGGTAATGCTTAACAACAGAGAGGGAGAGGACGAGATTGAGAGAGAGAAAGAGAGAAAGCACACGTGGTGACGATCGATAATTCTCTGAACTCCTTTAGTCACGTCACGCCGTTTGCCTTTCCTCTGAGTACACACGACGATTCAAACCGCATGCCGTGTTTATCCTTTAGTTTCAGGTGTAACGCCTGATTTGAGAGTAGCTTAGTTGGAATACGCCGCGCGCGAGATTAGAAGTAACAAACACCCCGTGTCTACCTATACAGTTCGTGTACCCGACCCTCCCGTAGACCGTAGTCTATTGTTAGCAAATCCAAAAATGAATAGAAAGAAAAGTGTGCCGGTCGCCAATGAAACTAAGCCATCCAGAACTAATACCTTATTGGTATATTTATTGGTAATTAATTAAAGTTTTATAATAAAAACAGTGGTTACATCGTGAACGATATGCAAAAAATGTCCAACGCCATATGAAACGATTATAGCGCAGATATTAATATGCGTATCGATTCTTCTTGGCGAGCGGTGCAATGAGAAGAAAAAAAGACGACGAGAAAGGTGGAAAGAAGCACCTAAGGAATAGCGGTGTATGCGTGCGATGCTTATAGGACGTCCCTGTGCCGCTTCGAGAACCCGCGAAAGCATTAACGATGCTAATGCTTTGTCGGAGAATCGTGTATACTACACGTGCACACGTGTACAAACGAGCAACATTAGTACACTTTATCGTCGGGCGATTTCAAATGTTGCGTGCACTTCGATGCATATAACGCCGCGCGCCGTCCCTCTGATAATCTTCCCGTGTTCTCGCCGCTCCATTTCGATAAGGAACATGACAAATGTAGCATTGGAACTATTAGAATTAAAGTCACACCATCATCGATCATTTGGCACGTTACCCTTAATATTTTCGATGCCACGAGACTTGATAAAAAATCGTTCCCTCCCACCCATTACACCCTCTTCACGTTCTTTATACATTTTTCTCTTGTTCTTTTCTTCATTCTATTATTCTGTCTCTATCTGGCCACCCTTCATGTGATGCAACATTAGCATTATTCACACGTTCCTTTAAGCATCGCTCGCGATTATGTTTGATGAACCTCGATTTCGGTATGACTAATAGCATTGTGTTTTTTTTCATCAGGGCATGGCTGCGAGGAGCAATCGTCCTGGTATTTCTTCTGGGACTCACCTGGACGTTCGGGCTCCTCTACTTGAACCAGGAGTCCGTCGTGATGGCGTACGTCTTCACCATATTGAATAGTCTTCAAGGGCTGTTTATCTTTATGTTCCATTGCGTTCAGAACGAGAAGGTAAGGGAATACGTCGGGGTCCAAACGTCCACCTTACTTTAAAACATTCTGCGATGCGTTTCAACGTTTTTCAATCTCGTCGAGTCATCTTTCATTATTTCATATCTCCCATTACATTCTTATCATTAACGAGAACTTTGATATTTTTGTCTAAGGCAATGTTAACGTAATTTCTATTAAAGAACGATATTAAGTCAGTTCAGTTGACTGCATTTGTGTTTTCCCTTGTGTACTAAACAATCGTAAAATTGTATCAAGCGAGACTAGAAGAGTGAGAAAAAAAGAATTGGAAAAACCGCATTTTATACATAAAGATTGTTAAACTGTTTCTATTAAGTAAGGTTTATAGTTAATTGAATTAATCACAAGTTAATGATCTTGTAACATAAGAATTCGATGCACTGTGTACGTAAGCGGATTCTTCGTATCATTATAAGTAACAATTAACACGATAGGCAAGAGAATCATTCGAGAGAAATCGTACTTAAAACGCGATGCAATCATAGACATCGTATGGTATTTCTTAAACGAACACGATGACAAACAAGATGATGATGTCTCAAATAAAGTGCTGTGGCAATCGAAAATCATCCAACATTTTAATTCGTCGTCAATCAAAAATCTGGGATCCTGTAACTTGATTTGCGAACTTCAGTTATTTTCATTTCTAAAATCAATTTTTGTTCCTTAGCATTTACATGTTTGGTTGCCACTGCAGAGATGCACCGCTCTTTTTATTATTTCTCTGTAAATTCAGCACCAACCGCTTCGTATGATCGATCATATATGTGTGTGTCGAACGTTATACATTCATCGTTCGAATTTAATTTATTCTCGAATCTATTATTTTCGGTTTCTTAAATTTCCTTAAATGAACGAGAAACGTACGCGCACCTACCTTGGTTTTTTGTGCACCGTTAAAGACAAAACCTTTCGTTGGGGGGTCGGGTTTGCTTTGCAATTGCAGGTGAGAAAGGAGTACAGGAAGTTCGTGCGCCGGCACTCGTGGCTGCCGAAGTGCCTCAGGTGCTCGAAGACGGTGACCGGAACCTCCGGCGGCTCTTCCGGTACCAGCGGTGGTGCTGGTGGCGCAAACGGCGGTAAGGACTTCGGCTCGCACAACACCTCGTCGAATCCGTCGGCGCCGACCACCGACAGCTCCGGATTGTCGCCGCACGCTGCCTCCAATGTGGGTACAACAACGACCACGTCACCGCCGAACAATCACAACAACCTGACTGCCGCCTGTAACAATACGAATCTTTCGATAAACGTGAACCTGAACAATTTGTCGCTGAGGTCGCCGGTTGGGGCACACCAGATGCACATGATGGCACCTAGCAACCACAATAGGCATCCCGCTCAGCAAGGTATCCGATAGCCGCTTATACACCAAACCGAGAACGAAAAAAACGAATCGAGTTCATTCGTTGCAAATATCAAATAGTATCTGTCGCGAGGGGAAAAACCAGTATAATCAGCAGGAGGAAATTCTTATCGGAGAAGAATGAATAAATATAGATATATATACATATGTATATATATATATGTATCTCTCTCTCTCTCTTCTTTCCCTTCAGTTTCCTTTCATTTATACTTAGGATCGCTAACTGGCACTCTTTCGTTCCTACGCTAGCTCTTTATTACTCGACTGTGTTTTTTTTTTAATTATTCCTTTCTTCCGACTATCGCTTGTTTCTGCCAGTAACGCAAGTATGATTAATAGTTCTGGAATTAATAACGCACTCCCTCTACTACCTGCCCTGTCGCTCGTTTCACGAACCAGCCTTTCGAGTTGATAACTGATCGTGAGCCGCGCGGAAGTTTTTGCATCTTTATCGGGCGAATTCTTTCGCTGACCGCGATTCGAATCTATACGCTTGTGTACTCTTGTTCGCTTGCACGATCATCCACGCGATTAAGAGGAATGGTTTCCGCTTGCGGTTGAAATGACCGCTGTTACGTAACCCTTTCGGAAAACAGAACTTCCCCTCTGACTTAATGACACATCTACGTCATGTTAATGACGTTATCTCTCTGTCAAAACGTCGCAATAGGTACTCTACCCATCATTATCCCGTGCATCCTCTCCTTCTGTCAAAACGCACCTTGATTCGCGATAGTATATAATAATAATTTTCTTCCTTAAACATTGCGCAAAATTTGCTGTAGACACGCTTGGCAAGGGCAAAAGATTATCTCTGATTAGTATCTAGAAACAATACCGTGGAAAATGAAAGGTCTTCGAGACGCCCCATTCAACTAGTTAAGCGTTTAACCACCGTGTCACCGCCGGCACCCTTCGTCCCGTTCGCTCGTGTATGCTAATTCAACCGCGTCGCCCCATCTTTGAAACTACCCCCATTCTTCCTCTTGTCGTCTGCCCCGTTCCTTTTTTTAATGTGTTACCCCAAGTCTGTTGCAGGATAAATTGCGAAGCGGGTGTCCTCGACCCTCCTAGTCGAGGGACTGATTCGTTTCGAATGGCCGCGCGTTCTGTACAAAAGCGACTCGTGCCAGAAAAGTCTTTTTTTTTTCAAATCGTCACCGATAATAGCTTTACCACCTCGAAATGTTGGCTTCGGAACGAGACGAGCTAAAAAGGCATTTAACGAACCATTCCACTCCTTCAACTCTATCGCGAAGAGAATTTAGAAGGAAAGAAAACGAAAGAAAGAGAGAGAGAGAGAAAAATATTTAGGGAGTCAAAGTTAGTTGTAGGTAGGGAGTACATAGGCTGATCTAAAAATTAGTCTATCCGTCTAGGAAAAAAAGAGAAACCGGAGTGTAATTATTGAACGTAGTTATGTCGGAAAATATGATAAACAACGATACCCGATCGTAGATGAAACGATAACCACGGTTGGCTCGGTATGTATACGCGTATGTCGGTTGTATTTTCAGCAAAAATGTATTGCCAATTGTTGGGACGAATTTATCGAGTTGATAGTGCAGATTACTAAACGCGAGCCATATTCGCCGGATGGGAATGACGAATAACGTTATACAATTATATATAATCGCGCGATATCGTTCATTTCTTCCGTTTATTCTTTTATTCTTTGTTTCTCGTATGCTACGCTCGTTTGTAAATTTATCGGTTACGCATCGGTAAATTCGCCGAATTTAAAACGGTTCGTATAAAAGCGCATCTCGTGATTCTCGCGGAAACAAACGTCGCTCGTACGCGGTAGCACGATGTTCTCTGTTTTTTATCTAACCACCCGATGCGATCAGGAGGCATGAACGCGGTCAGAAAATATTAAAAATCGTTGCAACGAACCAACGTGGAAGCTAACAGAAATACAAATATTTTGCGATTCCGCGAGTCTCGACGAATTCGTTGTCGATATCCATGTCGAAGTTTATTCTCTCGCCTTGAGTAAAGAAAATAAAAAATAAAAAATGGTTGACGCACGAATAAAGAGAAAAATAGCTAATCCGAAGTATTCTCACCGCGGTAAGCATTGTTCAGTCAAAAAATACATGGCACGCTCTTTCGCTCGATTTTGCACATCTGTAAACACGCGAAAGTACTATTTGCAAGACCTCCTACTAACAATGGTGATTTTCGTGCTTCTTATCTGGCTCTGGGTTTGGTGTAACGCGGTTGCTGGCTACTTTGTACCCTGTCTCCCTTTCCCCCTAAAGTCTCGAATACCTGCGAGACTCACTTTTATTGCGATGCACATCACGAAGAAAGCGAGCACGGCTCTCATTTATTTCAGATGATGTTCCAGATCGTTAATGAAACGTTCCTCTCGACGGCTGGACCACGAGAGACGTAACGAATCTGTAGCATCGATGATTTATACAATCGGCTTCGCAGCTGCAGTTCTGATCGCCGAGTGCCAACACTCCCGGCCTGCACGCTCGGTCCATTTTCTGCCCGCCCGCTGTTTTATCTCTGTTTAAACGAGCAGCGTCGGTGTCCGCGGCGAATTAACGCCATTAACTTGACGCATGCCAGTGCATCAAATTTTAATATCTATTTATCACCGGGAATTATTACAATAGAAATCCGAGTAAAGTCTCACGGTTCAAATACAAAATTATCCTCAGCATATTATTCTATTACTAAATCTGTTCCTATATCTTGTGATGAAAGAATATTATTGAACGCACAGATTTAAAATTGTAAGTCTTACGTCTAGTAGCATGTGCTCTAACAAGTCAGCTATGACTTCTTTCCATAACCAGTTTGTCGCTTATTGAATTTTTCACTGTCGATGCGTCTGGTGCATAAGCCGACCGGTAACACAGTAAATAAATAAATCTATACAAATCTTCCTGCTCCACGAGGAAAGTACACGTTCAGAAAGATTCGTAATGTACGAGCGAATGTTGTTTTACCCAATCGCGTGGGCAGAATCCTCCGACCGGTATAAGTACATACGCACGCATGAGTGTGAATAAAATTCGAATGCGAATAGATTTTTATACAAACATCTGAGACGCAGTCGGTCCTTCCGTTCATCGAATTCTGTCCACGCGCAAGAAATGTCTTTTTTAAGTTCTCGATCGAAAAGTGCCCCAAATCAGCTCTTTCTTCTATTCCCTTTCGTAAACTCGTCGCTACCCGGTTCGGTTTTTACAGACGCTCTTTAAATACACATACGTACAAATGGTTCACTCGATTCCGGACTCGCTTCGCACACATATATAGGAAACGTTACACGTTCTGTCTCTCTCTCTCTTTCTCTCAATCTCCAATGTTTTCCATGCGTCGCTGCTAGTTGAAGCTACGCATTTTTCTATGTGTGCATACGAAGTGGGTCCGGAATCGCTTCAGTCACCCGTACACACAGATTTACATGTCACACTATCGGACCACTTAGCCGCGAAGATAGCGGAAAACTCGTCGAAGCGAGGAAAATCTGCATCGATTCGTGTCACCTATCTCTCTCACACCTCCTCCGCAATGCTCACACAGACACTTGGAAGTACGCACACGCGCTTCTCGATCACTTTTGCTTACCATTCACACCCACGCAAACACTCGCACAAACGTACTTACACGACGTTCATTTTTTCCTACCTTTTTCTCTCTCCCCTCGCGTCCGTCTCTCGCTCGCACCGTTTCGCTAATTAACACCACGTGCACACTCGCGCGTAAGACTAGGGTAATACACGGATCATCGAGATCTTTAACAAGCCGAGGTTGAACATGGTGCAGAGACGGTCGAACGAAAATCCATAATTAGTTGAGCGAAACGTGAAAAAGCAGTGTTCCCTCTGGAACACGCGCCGGTTGTATTACGGCCGGTTTTCGGTTTTACATCGTGGCGCGACGCGTAATTTTATTCCCCGGAAATACCTGCAGCGGATGATCGATATTACGCTATTTCCTCTCTACATCTCGTATACACGTTTCAATCTCGGTTCGCGGTTGCTCGTCAGCGTCCCGCAAACGAGGAGCCCGTTCTTCGATGCGTTATTTCATTACAAGCACCGAGAAAACAAAGAAAACTCGTTCCTTCTCAACTCGTCTCACTCCGTTGCGCAATCGAAATACCTTCAAATATGAATAAATTAAAATGCTTACTCCACCATATTAACAATTTATATCTTCCAAGATGCGCGTTAGTTTGAAGCAGTCATTATTTAAAAGAACTACAATATATACAAATTTCATTTAGAAAAATTCTTGAAACTATGTTACGATTAACCATGAAAAAATCAAGTTCATTTTTTTATTCAAATTCGTCGGATGAAATTTTGGCTGGAAGTAGGAGAGTCGCGTGATCCGTCTATATATGAACGGAAAACAGGTGCGATTGCGTATCGTCCTGCACCAGGACATACACAGCGTGTGTGCGTGCGGACGTCGCGTATCTCAGCTCGTTACGTTCGTAGGTGCACAGGTCAAATCCGGCATGTTTCCGGTTGCAGCTCTTCTCGAGATATCGTCGGATTTAGCGTGTCTTTCGTGCGCGCGTCGCTTCGGAAAGGGTCGCCCGGAGGCCCCTTTTTAAACCGTGTCACACGAAATCCGGCTAATCTCCGGACGAATACCGGGCGTGTTATTTGTCACGAACAATCTCGCATTGCTAATTACGAATTAATGAGATTCGGAGATACTTTGTTCACGGATAAATTTTTCGTCGAGATTAGAAAAAAATGGAGCGAGGCGTTTCCTTAAGATTTCGTGGGACTCGAGCAACCCTTTGTTTACTGATAACGAGTAAAATGTCTGCAATCAATTATTAGATTGATCTAGATTAATGTTTCGTCGTACACTTTAACGTTCTCTCCGCTGTTAATCATCGCGTCGACTTGGCCTTCTATGTTAATCACTTGATCTTTCGTGTCCTGTGAACCAAGACTATTATACCCTCGTGTATTGTAATACACGAACATTACAACCTCGTCTTCCATGACTCGACATAACTTCCTATTACGTTGCAGTCTGATTTACGGACAGCAATTAACAGAGGGTAGTCACCGTTTGACTAATGCTCGACTGGTTCACCATCATTAAACTCTTTTTCGACGTTATGTCGAAGCTTGTTCTAAATTGCTTCGAATACGATATTTTATAATATCAACTATAAAATAGAGGACACAATGACCCATCACTCATACCTGTATCAGTAACAGTGCGCGTCTGACCAGTGGCTGACTCGTTCTACTGCCGCTCGATTCTTTCGACGTTAGATCATCCACATCGAGTCATCCCTGAAAAATATTCACGGGAACGACTTAAATATTCATTTTAAACACACGCATACTAATTATTCATCGAGAACACAAAATCGATCATCATTTGTATCAGTAAACGAAGGGTTAAAAGGGAACGGCGAATGATTCGATTTTTACAGTACTTGGCGTCCGGTCGAAGCTGGGCGATTGTCGATAGGCAGCCGGCAGTGACGGTGCCAGGTGAATCCTCTCCGACAGAGGCTCACATCGTGGCCACCCTGCCGTACGCCCGTCACGCCTTCTTACCCTCAGCTCCCAATATCCCCAAATCTGCCACCGCCACTTGGGGCCACCTTAACAAAAACCTTATGTGGAAGGTAACTAACTCACCGCTAAAAGCTAACAGAAAAAGAACGAAAGGCTCGCTCGCTCGTGTCATATTGTCTCGATTTAAATCTTTCCTTTTTCTTATTCTTCGTGCCATTCTTTCTCTGATTCACTGCATGGCGTGTCATGGTTTGTTTAACCCTTTCTGACCCAGGCTTGTGAAAAGATTGCATTCTGCCCTAGTTCCTAATTCGTAAGTTTATCGCTGATATAATAATCTGAATCAGAAAGGGTTGATTCATTCGATTCTCGTTTCATTTTATAATTCCATTTTACGTTCTCACCTTGCCGTTGTCCGGTCTTATTTGACAAGCACCTAGAGACACATTTTGCACACTTAGAGAGAACACCTCGTGGTTTCACCGAACTTGACGCTTCGATACAGCATGGAGGTGTGGGAAAAATTATATCCGGGTGAATACACGGATGATAGCTTGCGTAATACCCTTTTTCCCTGTTCTCATTCCAACACGATCAATTCGGACGCGTAGCTAATTGTATGTGTGTTGTACATTTTCATTTAGTAGTGACAGAATAATATTATATGAACGTACGCACACGATCACAACTTTTGTATATACATGATCATGCAGCACGTACGGAATATTCTCGCTCGTTCCTTCGACCATGCATGCGAACTCGCGGATTTGCTCACCGAGATTCGTTATCCTACTTTGCAAAACGTAGGCGTCACGTGAATCAGGAATTTGCATTTACCAAACTCAAACATCACGAATTAGATATAAAATTTTGAATTCCATTGAAACGAAATCGTAATAATCCTATCGTGCACGTATTCGTACTCAGCCCATACCAAGTCATACACCGAATCATTTTATGTTTCTCATTAAATCACTCCAATCCATCTTCCTATACTTATCAGTTATTAAACGAGCTTGTTTCTCCTGCAGAACATTTCTTTTAAATCGTACTCCCGCGACTCCGGCCACGGCGGCTCCGAGCAAGAAGATTCACCGAGGACGCACAACACCCTGACTTTAGGTCATTCAGCACGGAATCGCGGCGCGAGGAACATAACCGAGAACAACGACATCGTTGGCAACAGGATTACCGGTAACGGCGGCGGTAGAAGAGCGGCGATGCCTTACAAGCACAAGTACACGGAGATCATCGACGGTCGCGCGAACGGTCCTGGTCACCATCAGTTCCACGGCCATCATGGTCAACACGTGCATCTGCCTCGGGATCTGACGAACGAGGACGAACCAGTCTACGAAGAGATCGAAAGGGGCGGTGGCGGTGGAGGTGGCGAGATTCAAGTGTCGGACATGTCCGATGAAGACGGCAGAAGGCAGAGCGATATGAGCCGACAATCGTCGAGAAGTTATGCCGATCACAGGCCGTTGATCCCCTATTCGCCAGCCGCCGAAAGGAATTTGGTGCATTACGGGCAAACGTTAACGGACCGTGGTAACGGCGATGCTAACATTCATTGCGACGTGTTGGAATACAGCTCAGCGGAGCGAACCCTAAACGCTTGCTGGGAGAAGCTGCGAAAACAGCAGGCATGGTATGAACGTGGTGACCTGCCGCGGCTTCCGCCTAGTTACGGTATACCGCCGCAGCCAGATCACACGAGAACGGTCGCAGTACTCGACGGCCACACGGTCGTCTGCCATCTGCAGCCGCAGGCGGACATGTACACCGGACGCGGGATGCCACCGCCCTCCTATAGCGAGTGTTAGGACGCCCCCGAGGACAGGATCCTGTTATCGTCCTCTTGGTCTTCCTACGCGAGGACGACGGACGTGGTCCTGGCTGTCGAGACGCTGCACCGCGTGGCAATCGAACGATACTCGGAAGAACGTATGCTCGCGGACGTTACGGAAAGGTGGCTTCAACGCACGAATCAGTGGAATCTTCGATGATGATGATCCCCTTTCGATCACGATGGTTCCTTCTTGAAGAAGAAGCCACGAATCTGAAGCGAGCGAACGCGGTACTCGTAGTACGTCCAGCCGGATAAACGAGGACGACATGTTTCCGTCGTGGACGCGATTCATCGAACCTGAAAGTCGACGATCGCCGTGTTTCTTAGCCATAACCGGGCCACGAGGATTGTGGTCCGTTCTCCTTTGTTTCTATAATATTTCTGTTTAATCGAGGATCGCGTGGATTCATCCACGCCGAAGGACGTGTCTGTCGTCTCCAGTTCTGGAACCGTGCGAGTGTATGACGAAGCGCCGTGGTGTTTGTACGATAGCGTGATTTATGAAAACGACAATGGAATGGACCTCCCTGTTAATGTTTAATCAATTGTCGTCGTACCGTCGAAACAGTGATCGGTTTCCTACTATTTGGCTCACCGATAAGGCGATTGAATACGATATCATGCGGAGAACGATAAAACGTGACGAGTCCTCTTTAGGTTTCTAAAATCTGCTAGGAAAACGCTGCAGAATTCGGTTTCGAGGAAGACTCATACATAAACGCTCGTTTGCTGCAACAGTAGCGTGACTTAAAATACATTTCTAAGAAACTAGTTGGAAATCTTTAATTACAACTTGATAGGATTATTATATCCATTAGATAAAATTATAATAACATCATCATTCACTGCCATGAATTCATCAGGGATCTTCCAGAATTAATCGAATCAAATATAGCACTGATACAACAACTAAAAGATTGTGACTTTTAAAACAATAAGTTTGAATACCTGGCAATATTGTTTAACTATTTTCATTTTAAGAATATTACACTGAACTGCCAAATAGTGGCATTTAAAGTAGAAGTATCGCATCCTCCACTGCCATTCAGTAGGGATTTGTTCTATTCATACACGTTAGAAATCACAAAAGGACATGAGAATTATATCATTGTTGCAGTAAATAAGCGATACCACCACGATTCGGATGAGATAAATCTTGCCGTTTTATTTCCTTGCGTTCAACCGGATGATCTTACCATTCGTTGTCGGTTTGTCCTCGAAGCCAGTCCTTGTACGCGTTTAAGTCTCGAGGATGAATCTTTCTCAATAATCTCATCGATATCAGTTCTGCTCGTTAACAGGAACAATTCGAAGTTGACATGAAAGACGGTAAGACATATCGACATCGATCGAAAATAAGATTCACCGCGAGTTTCGGTGCTGAAATCATTTGGTTTGTTAACGAACCAAGATATCGATGAAATTACGACTTGGAATACCCAAAGGAAATCGGCGACGACTCGATAAAGGAATCTGAAGCCTGTGTTTTCTTTCGCAATGTTTCGACTTTCATTGTATCCCGAGGACAGTGTTCACTGGCATATCTTGGATTGCTGAATCGGTACTTATCTCGAACGGAAGAAAAATTCAAGTTACTTAATTAATCGATCAACGCTTATTTCGATTATCACTATCCGCGTTTAACTCGTGATCGTGTTGTAGAATTACTTCTACACAAAAACAGTCGAACTGCTTTTGAATATAATATTTGCAACTCGAACTTCAAGTTTCGAAGACGAGAATAAAAAAGTACACGTGTACAGATAGCGACTGATTCACAGTTTCCTCCAAAGGAAGAGCCACGGCTTAAAGTACCATTATCAGGTCGTCCCGGCCAGCTCCTCACTGTACATTGCTTTGGAACGTTACGTTTTAGTCCCAGAATGTTATTTTTATAAATAAAAAAATTATATATAAATGTATATGTATGTATACAGTAATGATATGATATATATATATGTATACATAAAACAAAGAAGAGAGAAAAAGAGAGAGAGAGAGAGAGAAAATGAACGAGAGTTGTATGAAACAGGTATATACATATATATATAAATATATATATATATATAGTGATACAAAGCGATTTTTCCGAACGACGTGGAAAAAGCGAAAAAAACTTAGTCACTGTTTTTTACTATTTTTTAAAGAACAAAAGGTATATGTCGTAACCGCGTAATCTATAATGTGTAACTAAGGGAACCCGCGCGCTATTTATTTTTTATCATCCGTGAGTGTTATCTAATGTGTAATTAGCGGTCATGTTGATTAAGTATCGATGACCGGTGACGTGCGATCGTGATATGTGTGCGAAACAATTGATCCGACGTATATGCGTGTAAGATCACCGTTGACCGGTCGTCAATTCGGGTGGCGAAATTTTCTGCTCGGGAACAAGATCCACGATGAGCGAAAGCGTACGTCTGTATCCGGTGGAGGAACGTCGAGCTTTGGAAGCGCCATTTTTACTCGATGTTCTTCTCGGATTGATAAACTCGGACTAGGAAAAGATATGTTGATGAGTTAGAACTAAACGAATTTTTTGTTTCTGCCTTTGTTACGCTACGATTCCGCGCTAGAATGTATCTGTCAAATTTTTCCTCCCATTTGCGCAGAATTACATTTATTAAACAAGTGCTAAGCAAATTGAGCATAATCTTTTTCGCGGTTCTGTAATGTCCTTTTTAATATCGTTTCTTTATTTTCCCTTCTTTAATTTATTTCTCTGCTCAGCCGGGCCAGCCGTGATCCTTCTCTCCGGCAAAAGTCGTACGTTAAGACCGATTACATCTATAGGCGAATTATAAAAATAGTGATAATCAGCGTTTAAGGGTACCAGCGTAGCTGTTACTAAGCTTTACGAACGTTTCCTCCGACTTGTACGAAACGTAATTGTTGCTCATTCTGGCGTAGCACGTGAACTTGTTCGCGGTTATCTCGATTACATATTTCTTTTATCATAGAGACCCCATCGCACAAGCGTAGCTTGAAGTGAGAACAAGCATGCATCCGGTACAACCGTTTCTGTCCACAATGTTAAAGTGTAGAACGAAAATCTGTAACCGTGTGGAGTGTACGTGTACATACAATCGTTTCCAACGCTGAAAAATTCAACCGTCTCCGTTTTTCTTATCCACGTAACTGCGCAACGTGAACTTCGTGAATGTGTTTCTCGGTCGTCGCCAATTCTATATGATGCGGAGGATCGGTATGCTTTCTTCAAACATTTTTTATTACACTTTTACATTCCTTAGTTGTCACGACAAACAGCAACCACGCGAGGCATCATTTTTAGTCCATTATAGGACAACGTGTCAGAAGCTGAACGAAATCGGGAGCAACATCTTGCGTTGTTAATCAAAATAGTAAGCTATCGTGGTATTGAAACTCATGGATTGCTTGTGAGCATTCAATAGACAACCAGATAGATCATATTTGCAGAACTGTTTAACAACTGCAAACTATTTATTTTAGCTGTTCTACATTGAGTGACAATCATGCGGAAGTATGGCAGATTGTTCACGATTTCAAAACAAGTCCCGTGAAATTTCTTTCTTCGGTCTCATATTCATTTTCTTTTTTTGTATCGCCACGTTTTGCGATCACGTTTAATTCTATGCACAAGAGTAATTTTTACAGGCGAAAGATCTTGTCCGTGGAATTACCGGATATAATTATAAACGCAGCCACATTCCATCCGTTTGACTTATCGTAATCGAAAGAGATAGCAGCCAATCACACGGGAGCAAAACTTTAAGCACATAGTGTTTGGTGAATAGGCAATCGGTCTAGATTCTCGCCTGTTCTTATTCTCTTTTTCTTAATTAATCGACGGCATAACCGGCGGGCCATGCTAAAGGGAAAAGAGGACACACTGTTATTGTCACGTTTTTTTTGGGGTTTGATGAGTGCGAGAGAAGACAGAGAGAGAGAATGAAAGTGTGAAAAAGCATTATTATCAGGATATTCTCAAAACGAAGTGTACATAATTGTAAATAGGGCTTTGTACATGTTGAACACATTGTAATGTAAATGGAGAAAATGTACTAAGATAGTGAGCGAGAGAGAGAAAGAAAGAGGAAATCTTTTATGTATTCCACGAGAAGTGGAAGTAAGGTGCGAAAAAATTTGTGTGAAAGAGAGAAAGAGAACGAGGGAGGCGACCGAGACGATCGATGTGAAAAACCAGAAAAGAATATTCTAGATAAGACAAGTTACTAGTAAGTAGTGGATATTACAGTGACTATTATCGTGATGGCGTATACACGCGAAACGGTTTAACTTAAGTCCCCAACGTAATTAGTTAATGTGTAAATAAATTAAGCGAGGAAGTAAAGCAAACAAACAGAACAAAAAAACATTAAATGAGAGCCCAAGTAATCATTGGATATTTATAAACGACTTCATTAAAGAGAAGTTACGTCAGACAGATAAAAGAGAGAAAGAATGAGAAGTGAAATGAGAGAAGACGACGTGTATGTTGATTCGATGTAAGAAGGAAGATTGTAAAAAAGATTCATGTGGACTATAGCATTCGTCCCGAGCGTTAGGTTTACTGTTACGGCTGTATGAAAGGAAAGGAAAAAAAGACAAAAAGGTAGGATGAAGAGAACATGAGGATAGACAAAAGCAAAAGAGAGAGGAGAAAAAATGGAGAATAGGATATGTACGACAGTTAATCAGATGGACAGATGTACAGTGCATGTTTTATCCTTAGCCGTTTTATAAATATAAATATCCTCCTCCCTATCCAACCCTTTCCTCTCATCTCCTCGCGTCAGGGAATATCTTCTCCTCTCCCGTTTCCTCTTTTCACGCGACTAATTAGCCGCGAATCTAATCTTCTCTCTGATCGAGTACACCTGTCCGTATTGTCCAATCTGGGAATGTTCCTTTTCAATCATGTGCGATTGTCTCTCTTTACTTTTCGTCCCTGTTCTCCTGTCCGCAGCATAAAGTAAACGGGTCCGATCGTGTCATCCCTCGAGATACTTAGCGACAGTAAGCTTTCATTTCACGTGCAAAAAGAGCAGGAAAAAAAGACAAACAAATGAAAATGCTTCGGAGCGGCGTAGCGGCCAGAGAAAGAAAGTTCAAAGCGATATCGCAGAGGGTCAACCCAGAAAAAAAACACCCCGCCCCCCAAATCCTTTCCCACACCCAGCCACCTCACCACCATGAAAGTGTCAGAATATTTTTCGAATCGGCTTTTTTCTAAACCGTTTTACCCAAAGACACAAGAGCATAGAGCAGCGGTCAAATTGCAGAATTTCGGATGAAAGCCGGCGCGCGATTCATGGTCTCGCATAGAATTCGTGGAGATTCTGTGATCTATATTTACCATTTATGTTCCCTCTTTGTAAATGATATTTAAGCGAACGTGTAATTGAAAATGATGGAATGAAGAATATAATAAACGCGGACATGGTTTGTAGCACGTACACGTGTAACTCACGCGCATTTGTAAGTTTCTGCCTGCGCACGCTGATATACGAAAAGAAGACCGAAGAACAGAAGCAACAGGAACAGGAAAATGAAGAAGAACAAAAGCAAGAACACAGGCGAAGATAGAAGAATGTCAAATCTAGATATCTCCGATCTACTAAGAGCCTCCGTTTCTTCATTTTTGTATGCTTCTTTAAGACTGTCTGATACAGGAAAAGAGGATAAATAAATGTGTACCAATCTCTGAATAACAAATTTGTCATGTTTTATTTAGGAATCAAGTAGACAATTTTATTTATTTCAAATATTCAGAAACAAAGACAATTTATTTAACAGCACCATATTGAATCAGACATTCGATCGTATCTTTCTGATTGCTTCTTCGAGCTGCAATTAAAGGCGTTACATTAAACAACGCTTCTCTATGGACATCGATTAATTTGTTATCCAAAATATATTTAACAGCTTCCACATCCCCGGCTAAAGCTGCCACGTGCAGAATAGTTTGACCAACATTGTCTTCAGCTCCTATTTCAGCTCCCAATTCTATTAATCGCTTCGCTAGACTCAAGTGGCCTCCTTTAATGGTCTCATGGAGGGGAATGGACCCCGAAGAATCTCGCGCGTTTAACATATTTGCATTAAGTTTTACAAGACGATCGATTAAAGCCTTGTGCCCATGAAAAGCTAGGAAATTAAAATATAATTCGATGATATAAAAATTTGTATACTATTCAAATTCTGAATTTAATGACAAAGAATATTCCACGGTTTAATTTATTACCAGCGATGTGCATAACACTGCGACCATTATTGGTTCGATCATTTATACAATCAACGGATTGATTAGTCAATAAATCAAAGGCATTTTCGTCGCCAGAGCGACAAACTATATGCAAAGGTGTCCATCCGTCTTTATTTCGTAAAAGGGGATTTGCTTTCGCCTCCAAGAGCGCGGCGATGCATTCGCAGGCCTTACTTCCGGTTTTCGTACAAGCCAGCATGAGTGGCGTCCAATCGGCGCGCTTCAAACAATCTACGGTCGCACCTATAAAAGGGCAGATAGACGATTTATGACATAAAAGTGCATTAAATTCCTTTTATCTCATTTATTTAGAAGCAAATGCATTATACTAATTAAAAGCACCTTTCTTAATTAAATATATCAGGACATCACTACGAGCGAATTGCGCCGCCTCGTGCAGCGGCCTTTTCATGTCTTTGTTGACAACGTCGATTCTGAAGTCCGGCTTATCGAAAGCCTCGCATAAGTAACGAATGATATTCAAATGGCCCTCACGCGCTGCAACATGCAACGCGGTATCACCGGAAACGGAGTACCGGAAGGGGGTCCAATCTTGAATGTTGTTTTTCGATACGAGGATTTCCACTCTAGATAAATCGCCATTTTGACAAGCATGCAGGAAGTCGTGAAACATATTGGTGTCTGTCATATTCTGAATTCTTAGAAGAATATCCAGTACACATTAGGATTGAAAGAAGAAAACGGTTTTATTTACAAAGATGAGTTTGTTGAAAAAAGAATAGTTGACAAGTTACGGAAGAACTGCCACATGCAACTAACGCTACACCTAAAGAGTTCACAGTTAGAATGAACAAATACTTGTGTGCAATGCGCACAGTTGTAATTATGAAAGTTGCCACTTCGTCGCTACGCGCTGCAATCGAGTGAGAATGCGATTGAGCGCAATTTAAGTTTTTATCATTTTGTTAACAAAATAATACATTGAGTGAGACGACCCTGCTGTTTTTCCCTTCCGCTTTTGGGAGCCTACCCTTCGACTATGCATCGCCCTTCAGGTCCATGGGAACAGCGAATAGCGCCGAGAAGATATTTTCTCCCATTTACCGACTTCCTCGGTAAATTACCACTGAAAAGAAGGGATACCGACTGTGTTTTAAGTCCCATTGAGCACCATTCGCTTTTTCATCGATTACACGGGCACTTTAATAGTCTCTCCTCGTTGGGGCATATGGCACGCTTCGCAGTTTCTTTGACCGTCGACCGTCGACCGTATCACATCGACTCTTCGATATTTTTCTGTTCTGATCACTCCCTCTGAAATCACCCGAATAATCCTATGCAAAGCTCTTCGATTTTTTTTTAACTTTTTGTGAGGTTCTTCACGGTTGATTCGGTGTAATCGTTCGCTCGTTGCTTTCATTCATACTTTTATTCCGCTTATTGCAATAAGCAATAAGAGCGCGTGTAAGGCCTGCGCTAATCCAGAGCCGAGCGTCACGATCCGAGCCAACCTACCCGTGGCTGGGTGCGGGTCCTACGCGTGCTCTCATTGGTCAGTGTTTTTCGTTAATAATTCAAAAACCATGGCTCACTTTGCGTCTTAGCAAAGGAAACTGTTGTTTAGAAACACTTACAGAATCACCCCTTTCTGGTTCTAATACTTTTTCTGGGACACTGTACATTTTAATAGTACAAAAATGGTCAATAATCCTAATCAGTAAAATCCTTACCAAAACAAGTGTAGAAAAATTAATTGTGCGAGGCTATGTGTCACGAGGATCACGGAATTATAAGATCACAATTGAATCATGAAGAATGCATTCGATTCCCGCACTTCCATGTATAAAGATATCGAGAATCAGACAATAACAACAAAATAATATGCGGTTATGCAATCTTCAATTCACGTGCGATTAGTTATAAATGCAATTGAAAGGTTCTTAACAACGTCAATCATTGTAATCGATGTTGATAACATGTGTTAAGGTACATTAAAATTGAACTACACGGGTAAGAGCATTTAGGTAATAAGCAGCATGGTTGAAAACAAGAGATTGTGATTTACTTAGAAAGGTAATTTTATTTTTTCCACGAGATTTCCATAACCGTTATGTCGGCGCGAGTTAACAATGCGAACAATTAACCACCAATAACGCGTTTCCGGGCTGGTTGTGCAACCAAGTGTGCGGCTACGCGACGAGCATTGCGCATAGCGAAAAAAATCTCCTCGCGAACGTTCAAGGTTCGATCAAAACCTTTCGCTTCGATATAATTGCCGGACTGAAGACGTCCCATTCGCCGTTTCTCGTTATTTATCTTGCCGCTCGCATCGTTCGCGTGATGCGACTATCGATGACCTTGCGGCAACCCGTAATTCAAATTACCCTAATTGATCATCATTTAATACACATTTCAATTCTAGTATCCTAAAATCATCTCGGAAAGGAATCTTGAATACCAAACAAAATCGATTAATCACGTATACACGTCGATTTAAAACGTTTATATCTTCAGTTTACCCTAATTGATCATCGTTGGAATCATTTTGGAAAAATATTTATTAATCATATGTTGTATATGAAAAAGAATCGGGATATTCAGTTCATTGGCAAGTAAATAAACGTATCAATTTGTCAACGTTCCTATCAAATAAGGATCAATAACGGCAGAAGTTTTGTATCACCACATAATCTGCAAATCTGAAATTGACTGAATACTTTCACGTATGAGTGAATAACAGCGAGATTGAACTTTCTTGATTGTTTGGTATGTCGCGTTAGCTCGTAAAGCATTTGGATTACAGTAGTACCAGCCGTTCCTTTGTCAGCCGTAACATCGGTCAGCGTGGAATATAATTCACCCTTGACGATCGATCGTCAATTTGCATACGATGAATCTCCTTTCAACTCACGTCGGATACAATCTTGCAAACTTAATTTACAGAACTCGCGGAAATTGATCTCTTATTATTGTCCTTCACTATAGAAATTTTCTAATAAACCTTCAAATTCGTTCGAAAACTTTTATTATTAGGATGATTCGAATAATTTACAATTATTCAATTACTTTTATGCATCGCTGAATAATTTTACAATATAAACACTTTAT